TTCATTCACTCACTGTATATCATTACAGCACACAAATTGAGTTTTCCCATCCAGAATACACTGTATATTGGCTCAATCAAAAATATTACCATACATGTTATCTGCGACAGGTCATTTTCCATTTTGTGTCTCTTAACAGTTTTTACTTTGTTCTTTTTTCCCCTTGGTTTCCTCCCTTTCACCCTCCACCAACTCCCATCCTTCTCTCTCCCACACTGTCTCTGTTTTTAAAACATTGAGAACCTGAGAGTGGCGTTGAAAAGTTAGCATTATTATGCTCTTGATTATTACCTATTGGGTATCCGTGAGTATTATATAGGGTGCCATCACATATCTAGATAAACTTAATTAAACTTGATCTCTGTGTCCTTGTATTTTAATGTCATTGTGACACACAATCTTCAACCCTGAAATTGGATGTCAGTTGTTTCTCTTATTTATAATATTCCTGAAAAGTGACTTTTCCACAGCTTCTTAACCAGAGATGAGAATTTGATTTGTTAGAAGTAACCACTGGATAAAAAGTAACTGAGACATTTGCCTATGATTTTTGTGATTATGTTTTTAAACTATGATGGTATCACTTGAGTAATAGTAACATACTATGTCATAGTAGGCTATATGGTGCAGAAATATTTAAAGTTATTTTAATTTGCCTCTTTAAGGGGCCAACCTGTAGTGTAGTAGTTAAGGCAGCTGAATCCCACATGACCCAAAACTACATGGTTCCAGTCCCTGACCATGCGGCTTGAGAAACACGCCACGTGTATGTGTGTGCATGCCCAGAAGGAAAAAATGGAGAAGGATTTGTCCTTCAAATAGATCTACGACATGTTCCAGCAATCCCACTCCTGGGTATCTATCCGAAGGACCAGAGAATGCTCAGTTGGAAAAGCTCTGGCACAACTATGTTTATTGTGGCATGATGCACAATTACTAAGACTTGGAACCAACCCAAATGTCCACAAACAGAAGAATGGATTGAAAAAGTGTGGCACATATATTCCATGGAATACTATTCAGCCATAAAAGCCAACAAGACCCTGGCATTTTATAGAAAGTGGATGAATATGGAAGATTTATTGCTAAGTGAAGCAAGCCAGGCTATGAAACGGAGACATTGAATGTTTCAGCTTTACATATACTGACTATCCGCACTCTATTTTAGAGACTGAAAGGCTGAAAGACATAGAAGCATTGAAAATTGTTACGGACACTGGGGACAAAGTGGAAGGAGAGTGGGAGAGAGAATAATGTAGGAAGGAAAATCTAGGGGAAAAATGGAGAGATAACATTAGTGAGACACAGGTATGGTTTATTGCCTGTTGAGGATAATGTATTATATTCTCAACTGGGCTGTTCTGAGGTGTATATCATGCTGGGTGAAGTCTCTTTACAATTGAAATGCTGTATAGTGATTGTGTAAATCATAATAATAAACAATAGTAAAAAATAGAAAAAAATTCCTTCTCTACACACAACTAGTTTTTTTTTATGACTTATGTAATTAGCCAGGAACTTACAAAATGCCAATAGGTGGACAGGTATTATATAATTAGCCCAAACCTGCCCTATACAACTTACTTAAATAAAGAAACCAATTAATATTTCTTTATTGTATCTCTTTTCATTAATTAGTATTTCTTAGCTTCCTGACCCACTATACTAATTAAAATTCACATGGTAAGTAAAACTGGATTGGCAAATAAACCAAAACAAGAGCTCATAAAATAATATTTAGCCTAGCTTAATAATTTGGATATAAGGTAAGTAAAGTAATAAATAACATTTTAGGTTCTTTTATTTACATATTTAAATGCCTGGAAATAGCGGGTATTGGAATGGGATGTGGAAAATGTAGTCATAGACTGCTAAGAGGATGCACAACTCTGCATCTACTTTAAAGAGCAATTGGCTGTATTTTAAAAAGAGGAGACTGAATACATTATACCCTAATATGCTCCTTATAGGCATATCTTGAGAGATGCTCTCGCACATTCACAGAATCATGCCTAACAGTGTTCTTTGAAGTATCTTTGTTGTGAAAACTTGGAAACAACACAAATGTTCATCAGTCAAATAAATTGTGGCAAACTCATATGATGGAATTCCATAAAACAGATGAAATGAATTGGTTTCTTAATTTAACAAATTTTTATTGAGCATTGTGTACTTTTCTAATCTTAGAAGAAAGAACAGTAGAAAACTAAACACAAAATCTCAAATATAACTTGAGAATTATACTTTGCATTCAGGATAAAGTACTATGCCAGGTCATTGCAGGAGAGAAGAAACATGAACTAGAGTAAGTGTATAAAGATTATGGCGAGGGAGGGCCACTGTCTCAGACAGGGCGGCCAAGTAGGGTCTCTATGACAAAGCAGTCAGAAACCAGAATTAAGTAGACGTGTCTGCCATGCGATGGTATGGAGGGAGACCGACCTGCTCAGAAGGACTGATAGGTTTCAAAGAAGGAAAGTCAGAACATCTTTGATTATAATGTGTAGCCAAGGAAAGTGGAATGATGAAATTCCATTTTGCTTATCTGAACAAAACTGAGAAAGGAGCTTTCTGGAAATAGCAAGAATCAAAAATTTGGTTTCTGTCTTGTTAAATATGATATGCACATCCAAAGGCAGCCATGGATGATGCTGTCTTGTCAATGGGGAGTCTATGAAGCTGGTCTTCTGGGAGAAAGTTCAGCTAGAGAGATGTATGTGGGACACGTTAGTCTCTAAACTGTTTTAAACCCATGGGTCCAACTGTGTTTTCTTAAAACATAGGTACAGATATTTAAGGACAGAGCTCTGGGTTACTCTGCCAGGTAGAGATTATATGTCAGTGTTCAGCAAGATGGTAAATGTGGAAAACCAAGAGAGTCAGTGCTCATTATATAAAACTAAATGAAAAAGAAAGCACATGTCTATGACAGATGATGGTTTTGTGTGTGTGTGTGTATGCTTATTTTGTGTTTGTGTGTATGTGTGTGCCCAAGCAAAAGGTTAACATTGAGCTTCACCATCTATAGAGGCAGTGTGTTATGTTTGGATAAATGTTACTTTATCCTTTATTCTCTACTGTATTCATTAAATATTAGCATAATTATGCATTATTTTTATGATCAGCAACAAAAATATTTTTATTTAAAAAATTAAACTGACATTAATAGTCTTATTTCAGGATTATGTTTCTACTCGTATTGAACTATCTATTATTAACTATTTTTCTTTGGTAAGCTTTTTTTTTCTCTAGAAGCAAACCATTTTGCACAATTTAATACCCATTATGTTACTTCTATTATCAAAAGAACTAAAGTCCTGGGTGGAAAGAATTTTAATGAGTATGAGATTGGTAGTCTCACCTGGCCTTCTAGTACACAATAAAATTCATGCAGTCTTACCATCCTTATCATATAAAAGAAAGATTTCAAGTGAATTATATGGGAGATGACTGTAGGAAAACATACTGTAGGCATTTCTCAAGTTTTGTACAGAAGGCATAATTTGAGCCACTTTCTCCTTTATTTACATCATGCAGATGTGCAGGAGGGCTATCTATGTGCATGTGTGTGTGCACCTGCATGTCTGTGTGCATGAGTTGTGCAGCTCATAGATAATAGGTGCATACCCCTGCTACTTTACACTAATGTCTGATAATATAGACCTGTTCAAGGACTGACTTCAATAATCTGTTTGTTCAGCTTAACTATAAAAGCACTTTTGATATCCTCAGAGGGCATATATGAAAAGTAACCTCTTCAATGTATGCACAATATAACGGAAGATTTATTTTAACTTGAATATATGTCAAAATATCTCAAACAGATGCTAAACTGGAGCAGGAAAAAGAGCTGCAGACCTAGAAGATCTAATCATTGTTATTTTAAGCAGATTCTGATAACTCCAGAAAGTTCAGCCTGTAAGAACGGGAACAATGCTTTTCCTAAGATAGGCATAAAATTTAGCATATTGCCAACTTTTAAAAAACACAGCAATAAACTAGAAAGAAAATGGTCTTCACTTATGAGGAAGGTATGAAGCTTCTTTAGAGGATTTGATGTGTCATAGCTAACCTCCCCACGAGATCAACAGAGACTCTTAATATTGCAAGACACCTGCTACCTTGTCTGCCTAGAAGCTGACTTCCATCGACTCTCCCTCTTGCATGGAAGATATTTTTCTCTTCATCACCCTCAGACCCTGGTTCCTCTCAGATGCACACGCACGTGCACACACACACACACACACACACACGCACACAACACTGTATTTTGGTAATTCTCACTGCACATTGCTTTACGTTATTTTCTTTGATTTTCATGTCAGCAGCTAATGGCTAAACATCTAAACTGCAGTACCAACAATCCCAAAAACAAAGCAGAAAGGCCGGATGACACACTCTGATAACAGAAACGGTCATTCCCCTGTCTGTGCTGGCTAGTACTCCTTGAGCCTCAGTTTGACAGTTCTTTGGAATAGTGCAGAGCTTTCTTTCACACCCTGTTCCTGGTCATGGGTGGAGCATTTGCAAGTGGGAGCTGAATTGAGGATGACATGCTAATTAGAGCTCTGTGTTTATGTTCTTAAGAAATAATTACCTGAAAAATACGGCAGTTAGAAAAAGTCTCCTTTCTTATACACGAAGAAAAGCAACCAAGGAACTGCACTTATTTACTAAAAAGAGTTTGGCTTGTTATAAAACAGAGTATGTGTAGATAGACATTAAGCCATGAAAACCTCAGTATCCAGGTGATATTAGAAAAGATGTCCCACAGTAAGGGGGACCATTGCATTTTTAGTGCAATCAATACAAAATATAAAAACCTTTTTATAGCAACCTAAATAGTCCACAGATTATGGACAAGAGAGGAAATGCCCTAAATTATTTTGTATTTGAGTGTTATGTACAAGAAACATTTTCTTAGGGCCGCATTATGTTCTAGAGTGATGGGAACATTGAATATTTGAAATTGTATAATCAAAAGATAATAAACTACTGACCTGAGAGGGTACAGGCAGTTCAGTGCATACTTTTTGTTTTCTAAGTTCTTCAAACTTTTCTTTTTAAGGTTTCACCACAGGGCACATGCACTTACTGAAGAGAAACAGAGACAGTGAGAGGCAAAGTGAGAAATCACTACCCAGGAGGGATGGTCACACCGCAATCCCTTCTCCTCCATTCTCCTCTCGGGATCTTGGGCACTCATGCACAGGTACCTGGCATGATTTTCAAGCTACCAGTCTGGGACTCGAACTATGACTGACCATATGGGAGTCCAGTGCCAAATAGTCATTGAGTGTCTAATTTTCTAAGCAACAAAATAGGAGAAACAAGATTAAGAGGTAGACCAACAGGAAGGGGTCAGATGGTGGTGCAGCAGTAAGTGCCACACTCTGCAAAGCTGACACACGTAGGAAGGTTCTCAGTTTACATCTAGAAGCCTCCCTGAGTATGTCAGGCATTTAAGTGCCCATGACCTGAGACCTGAAGCTGAGGATGGGTCAACTATTTGGATGCTTACTTTGTCTATCTGTCTCTATCTGAGAGAGAAGGGAATGGCTTAGTTAGGTTTTCAGGTTGGGGAATTTGGACATGGAGAAAGGGAGATGTATGAATGGATTGTTATCCAGGAGGTTGAGTTTAAGAGAAATAAATGTTAGAATGATAAAGTTTGATTTAGATGTAACTTTGCCATCTTATCTGAGAGTCTATATTCTAGAGCGTCTGTTGCCTGTCACTCACTCTCAAACTATTGTTGCTAAGATTAGTATATATGTCAGTGCCAGTAGGTAGCATGGTGTTAAGATGTTATACTCCTACATGGCTAACCACGGTTTGAGTCCCAGACCTGGTGGCTTGCTTTCTCACTTTCCCTCTCGCTATCACTCTCTGGTCAAATTAAAGAATAATAATGATAGTAAAAAATAAGTAAAATGGTGGTGCAGCAGTAAGTGCCACACTCTGCAAAGCTGACACACGTAGGAAGGTTCTCAGTTTACATCTAGAAGCCTCCCTGAGTATGTCAGGCATTTAAGTGCCCATGACCTGAGACCTGAAGCTGAGGATGGGTCAACTATTTGGATGCTTACTTTGTCTATCTGTCTCTATCTGAGAGAGAAGGGAATGGCTTAGTTAGGTTTTCAGGTTGGGGAATTTGGACATGGAGAAAGGGAGATGTATGAATGGATTGTTATCCAGGAGGTTGAGTTTAAGAGAAATAAATGTTAGAATGATAAAGTTTGATTTAGATGTAACTTTGCCATCTTATCTGAGAGTCTATATTCTAGAGCGTCTGTTGCCTGTCACTCACTCTCAAACTATTGTTGCTAAGATTAGTATATATGTCAGTGCCAGTAGGTAGCATGGTGTTAAGATGTTATACTCCTACATGGCTAACCACGGTTTGAGTCCCAGACCTGGTGGCTTGCTTTCTCACTTTCCCTCTCGCTATCACTCTCTGGTCAAATTAAAGAATAATAATGATAGTAAAAAATAAGTAAATAAAATAAATAATTCTTTTTTAAAAAGATTAATATACATATTAATCTTAAATGATTCCTGAATTACTATAGTCTCTAAAGAAATACAAGTTATTTTTGTTTATACCAAACTGAAAATGTACCAGAGGCAATCCCAATCTGATTTTTTATGATAGCTAATGACTTATCCAAATCTCTAGAGTTGGTAGCAAGCAGTCATTTCATTATTACTCTGGGTATCTTAAAGTAAAAGTTCTCAGACAAATGTTATATGTTCTCAAATATGCCACGTAGACTCACTGATCTCAGAGTTGGCATTGAATGATAGGAGGAATGAAGTTTTGAGAGGTGAACTTTGGTCACTCACAGTTCTAAAATCCTACATATTTATAAGCTTTCATTGATAACTATAACCTGCCAATGTAATTCATTATATAGCTGTACTTTATTAAAAAGTCGTAGTGACTGAGGGAAAATGACTTGATTCCATGTAAAATGTAATTCAAGAAATATTTTCAAAGCTTACTACACCTTAATCTTATAATAGAACCTGGAATTTAAAAATAACTGTAAGAATGATAGATACCATGAACAAATGCTTGAGGAAAACATCAACTATGTTTATATCAAGTAAAACTTTTATTGTCTTAGAAGTAGACTGACATGAAGGAAGATGTTTTAGATAAAACGATGTATGGCTTTAAATGTTCTTCAACTTTAATTTCCTAGATGAAACTCTATCCTAAATATGTCAAGAAGTATTTATTTGGAATCAATTATTTAAATAATTAATAAAAATTGTAAAATATATATTCCATCAAAGAAGTATCACATCACCTTAATCACAATTGCCCTCTATTACATTAAGCTAAAAATAGCATTTGCTAAAGAGAAAATAGTGCTAACTAAAGATAATTTTTACAGATTCATACAATGTATAATAAGTTCTTGCATTTCTTTAGACAGCTACCCAAATGCCAACAACATTAAAAACTAGTGGGAAAAAAATAAAATAAAATAAAGACTATGTATAGATGGGAAGAAAGAACAGATGGCTTAACCCTGAGATTTTCTTTCCTTAAGTATATCTTTTAGTACCTACCAGTAACTACAAGTAAACTAAAATAGTGTAAATTTCATGCAAAGAAGGTTTTTCTAAAAATCTGTGAAATATCCATCTGGACCTCAGTACTTACTGAATTTTGGAGGTTGATGATACTAACTAAAAAGTGAGTATACATTTTCTACATAGGGTTTTGTTTCCAAACACATCAAGGTGAGCCTATGTCAGTCAAAGCATCCTGGGATTCTGCTATGAAACACAATTATCACTTTGTTTATTCTGTGAATAAAGCAAAGTATATGACATGCTAATTTTATTCCAGCACCTTCTTTCTTCTTGGAATTAAATAAGTAATGATTTTTTATCCATTTTTAATTTATTTTTAATTAATTAATTTACTTTTATTCACTGAGCATTGTCACAGCATATAAAATGTAATTTCCCATCCAGAAGATGCTGCACAGTAGTTTAATCATACATATTATCGTCAATATTTTTCCATTTCTATTCATATATATGTATATATTTTTCCCCCTATTTCTCACCCTCTGCCATTTCCCTCACTCCTTCCACACTATCTCAGGTGTCCACAGTTGTTTTCCATTCCTTTTCCCCTCACATTTTATTGATTCACAAAATTTCTTAAATAACTACTTTCAATAGCAAGCTCTGCTGATATATACCTATATATGAATACATATCTGACTTAAGGCATGAATCTCTGAGTAGAATGAATATACTATAAGTAGCACCTAGCTGATGCTATATAGTTTAATATGGTCATTAATTATGTATTTTTTACTGTATTTTTCAATTTCAAGAAAAGCAGATTTAATTTTAATAAATCAAAGAAATGCTAAGGAAATTTGCTTAAAACTTAAAGCCAGGAAACAGGTTGGGATGCTCTTGAAATAGTAGGTACATGAACCTATCAGCAGCTCAAGACAAGACAAAAATCTTCAAAATCAGAAAACAAAGCCTAGAAAAAAACAACAATGTTTTAGTCAAAAGTCATAAAATTCTGTTCCACCAGTTCGGTCTCATGTACTTTATCTTTTGTTGTGATTCAATTTTCCCAATTAAATTCTGGGATATAATATTCAACTTCAGACTTGTCCCTACAATTAAGTAGGCCATTTTCTTAGTTTTTGAAGTCTTATTTTAGTGTGACTGTATTTAATTTTCCTAGTATAGCACTCCTGCAGAATTTCTTGGAGATCTAGCCTGGTGTTGGTAAATTCTTTCAGATTTTGTTTATCTTAGAATGTTCTTGTCTTTTCTTCCCATATGAAGGATAATCTTGCTGGGTATAGTATCCATGGTTGCAATTCCTTTTCCCTTAACACTTTGAATATATTTTCCCATTATTTCCTCACTAGCATTGTTCCGATGAGAGATCTGCTGTCAGCCTGATGGGATATCCTTTGTAGGTAACTTGCTGTTTCTCTCTTGCCAATCTCAGTATCTTGTCTTTGTCTGTGGTTTTGCTCAATCTGGCTATAATGTGTCTTGGAGAAGATCTTCTTGGGTTGATTCTATTTGGGGTCCTTTGCATTTCTTGGGACTGGATCTTTGAATGCTTCTCTAGGTTTGGAAAGTTTTCTTCCAGGATTTCATGGAATAGACTGTCAATGCCCTTATGGGTCTCTTCCCCTTCTGAGATACCAGTTATCCAGATGTTTGGACATTTGATGGTATCTAGTATTTCTTGTATAGTATTCTCATGTTTTTGGACAATTTTCTCAGTCTTCATGGTGGATTTTTCTAGGCCAGTAATTCTATCTTCTGAGATTCAATTGCCAGTGTGATCTAGTTTGCTTTGAATACTTTCAAGGGAGGATTTGACTTCCTGTATTATAGTCTTCATCTCTAACTGTGTAATTCCTCTTTTAGATCTTGCAAGAATTTCCTCACCTCCTGAAGCTCGTCAGCTTCTTTCCCTGGACTCTTCAGCAGTTCATTGTCTCTTCTCTTAGATCTCTGTGAGCTTTGTCATCATAAAAATTCTAAATTCTTTATCAAACATTTTCATGATTTTCATCATACTCTCTGAGGATGAAGATGACTTATCTTTCCTTGGAGAAGAGGTATTTTCTTGGTTTTCCATATTTCTTTTTACCCTGCAGTGATTTTTAGTTATCAGATGGATGGTGTGTTTCTTCTGATCCTTGAAGTTCAGTCTGAGTGATCAGAGGCATGCAGGAGGAGGTGATCTGCAATCTCTCTTCTATTCCGTTCTCACTCTTTGTGCATCAGAATCAGTGGGAAAGAGGAATATTCTGACCCTAATTGTATTCAAATGTATAGATTCTGTTCACTTGGACCTTTCTAGACACTTCGTGGTTTTTAAAAAGAGAAATGGCAGGGCCAGGAGTGGCATGGAGGTTAAGGTGGCTGGATCTTACATGGCCAACTGTGCAGTTTGATCGCCAGACCAGATGTTTCAAAAAGCATTCTGGGCACATGTGTATAAGCAAAATCCCAAAAGAAGAATAGAGAAAAGGGATTGTGGTGTGGCCAGCTCCCTGAGAATTCTTTCTCATCTTTTCTCT